AAAAAAAAAAAAAAAAAAAAGAAAGAAAGAAAAGAAAAAGGAAAATGGGCAAAGGATCTGAATAGATGTTTCTCAAAAGGAGACATGCAGATGGCCAACAGGTCTATGAAAAGTGCTCAACATCACTAATCATCAGGGAAATGCAAATCAAAGCCACAATGAGACACCACCTCAAACCTGTGAGAACGGTATAACAAGTGTTGGTAAGGATCTGGAGACAGGGAACCCCTGTGCAGTTTGTGACAGTATAAATTATTACGGCCATTATAGAAAACAATGTGGACGCACCTTTAAAAATTAAACATAGAACTAACATACGGTCCAGCAGTTCCACTGCTGCGTATACTGTTGACCCTCAAACGGCATGGGTTTCAACTGCACAGGTCCACTAACAGGTGGATTTTCTTCCACCTCTGCCACCCTGATACAGCAAGACCAGCCCCTCCTCTCCCTCCTCGTCCTCAGCTACTCAACATGAAGACAACAAGGATGAAGACCTTCATAATTATCCACTTCCACCTAATGAATAGTAAACAGATTTTTTCTTCCATATGATTGTCTTAATAACACTTTTCTCTAGCTTACTTCATTGTAAGAATAGAGTATAATACATATACAAAATATATGTCAATTGACTATGTTATCAGTAAGGCTTCTGGTCAACAGTAGGCTATTAGTAGTTAAGTTTCTGTGGAGTCAAAAGTTATATGTGGATTTTTGATGTCATGAGGTGTCAGTGCCCCAACCCTCACGCTGTTCAAAGGTCAACGATACATCCAAAGAAAATAAAATCAGACACCTGGAGCATTATTCAAAACAGCCAAGAGATAGAATCTGCCTAAGTGTCCGTCAACAGATGAATGGAGAGAGAAAATGTGGTAGATACACACAACGGATATTGGCCTCAAAAATGAAGACAATCCTGCCGTTTGCAACAGCATGGGTAAACCTGGAAGACACTATGTTAAGTGAAATAAGCCAGGCACAGAAGGAGAAATTCCACATGATCTCACTTAAAAGTAGAATCTTAAAATGTTAAATGCAAAGAAACCAAGAGCAGAATGGTGGTCACCAGGGGCTAGGGAGTTGGGGACACTGGGGAGGTGTTGGTTAAAGGATTCCAAATTTCAGTTAGAAGGAATAAGTTCAAGAGATCTATTGTATACCATAGTGACTCAAGTTAATAACAATACATTATATACCTGAAAATTGCTAAAAGAGTACATTTTAAATTTCTAACCACACAAAATGGTAAGTATATGACATCATCCATGTTAGACTTAGCCATTCCACATGTATATGTATATCAAAACATGATGTATGCCATAAATATGTACAATTTTTGTCAACTTAAAAGATAAATTTTAAAAAGAAAATAAAGTCATTGATACTTGACAAGGATTGGCAAATCATAGCTCAGGTAAAGGAAGGGTAAACAAATTGAACGAAGCTTGCTATGTGAAATAATGAAATCTTTACGAAATCTCCATACCCTTCCATATTTTTTATTATTGTGGTAAAATACACATAAAATTTACCAGTTTAGCCATTTCTGAGTGCACATTCAGTGGCATTACATCCATTCACTCTGTTGTATCAACCATCACCACCACCCACCTCCAGAACTTGCTTCTTCCCAAATCTGAAACTCTGTCCTCATTAAGCACGAACTCCCCACTTTCCTCCCCCAAGCCCCTGGCACCTCCATTCCACTTTCTGTCTCTGTGAATCAGGTTACTCCAGGGACCGCTAAGAAGTAGACTCATCCAGCATTTGTCCCTTCACATCTGGCTGATTTAACTGAGCACCGTGTCCTCAAGGCTCGTCCACGTTGCGCCCTGTGTCAGAATGTCCTTCCTTTCTCTGGCTGAATTACATTCTGCTGCGTGGACGAGCCACATTTTCTTCACCCGTTCGCCCATCAATAGGCGCTTGGGCTGATTCCACCTTTCAGCTGCTGTGAAAAACGTTGCTATGGTCATGGCCGTACAAATACGATGCTGTTTTTGACTTTAAATTTACATGTATTATTTCTGTCATGCCCATTTCTGGAACTGTGTTTATTAAAAGGATTACAATTGAATCACCTACTGTCTAAGGCCACTTTTCTGGCAATGTAAAGGTTTTTAAAGATAGACTCTTGCTATTTCCACAGTTCTGCTTCCTCCACTCCCTGCCCAGGCCAGCCCTGAACATTCCACTCCTCTCTTACTTGGGAAAGTATCAGAAAACACTATACAGAAACCACTCAGCCACAAAGGGATTCGGTAACTATTTGCTACAAATAGAGAGGGTGCTCACCGCCAGGGAAGGCACCTCCAAGGAGCTCCAGGAGGTCAGGCCCACGGCTCTGTGCACCACAGCTCCCCAGAGTGTAAAATGCGCAGCAGTGGTCCATCTGCCACAGGAACCTCCTGGCTCTCCAGGTGGTGCCAGTCTCAGCATCCTGCACTGCTGCCATGGGCTTCCTCCTGCAACCCCGGTATTTTCTGTGACTTCCTGACATTCATGACAAGGATTGTCTAAGTGTGGCTCCAGTACTGGGAAGGGTATGCAGAAAAGAGAGCTCTCCTATGCTGCTGGGGCACAGAAAACCAGACAGCACTTGGGTGACTGGCTCAGGAATGTTTGGTCAAGCTGAAGTGCGCACACCAGCGACCCGCAGGTTCAGACCTGCCCCTGGGATCCTCCGGTGCTTGTGTCTGAGGAGTCAGGAGGCACAGACTGAGATCCCAAATCCGAAAATCCAAAACCTGAACTCCTCCAAAATCCGAAACTTTTGGAGTGCTGATGTGATTCTCAAAGGAAATGCTCATTGCAGTATTTTGGATTTGAGATGCTTGACTAGTAAAAAATAATGCAAATATTCAAAAATCCCAAAAAAGATCTGATACCCAAAACACTCCTGATCCCACGAATTTCAAATAAAGGATGCTTAATCTGTACTTTTGGGAAAAAGAGAAAACAATTTAATTATCCAACAACAGGAGATGGGTAAGTGAGTGCAGGTTCATCTGGAATCCTGAATTACCATTGAAGCAAAATGAACTACAAAGAACAGAACAAAAACCAACTTGGAGAAGTCTCAAAATTACGGTGATCTACATGGAGAAAGTTTGTTGCAAAAGTATACTTAAGAAATGATAAAAGTGTTGAACACACAAAGAATACCCTAGCTGTCACATGGATACGTGAAGAGGGGGGTGGGGGGCTGGTAACACTCTCTTCCATCTGAGGCCACACAGGCACCCCCTCCTTGCTGTCTGCTGAATGGTACACACACCCCTAACTTGATAATAAAGTGCAGACAGAGCCATAAACATCATACAGCCACACAGATGACATATAAAAATAGGCTGAGGATGAAGGAGGAGCAGCCCAACTTTAGAAGAACAGTCAACACTGTAGGTAGGGAGAGGAGGAATGGAGGATGCAACCTCAGTGTAGATGATGCTTTCGAAAATATATTATTTCTATACACATATGGGAAACATACATGTGAGTTATGGGGAAGGGGGAAGCACTGATTCCTTCTTTCTCCTCCTAAAGTGAGACCACACCCTCCTGTCTAACTGCAACTCTAGACTGTAAATTACAAATCAGTGCATTCAGCAGCCAACAAGAATACTATGTTTCTCCGCGTGGAGCTGGTCTTTGGATTTGCTAGTTATGCTGAACATAACTGGCAAATAAACTAGTTTTATTAATGGGGAAAATTCAGAGCCCAAGAGTAAGGAGTACATATATGAACCATAACAACAACTTGTATTAAAGATAACATTTCAGCTGGTCATGGAGAATCACATCTATAATCCCAGCACTTTGGGAGGCCAAGGTGGGAGGATCACTTGAAACTAAGAGTTCAAGCCAGCCTAGGCAACATAGCAAGACCCTATCTCTGCAAAAAGAAAAAAAGAAATAAAAAAGTTGGCCAGGCATGGTGACATGCGCCTGCAGTCCCAGCTACTCAGGAGGCTGAGGCAGGAGGATCACTTGGGCCCAGAAGTCTGAGGGTACAGTAAGCTGACGCCCCCTGCACTCCAGCCTGGGCAACAGAGTAAGTTCCCCTCCCTAAAAAAATATATATATATATATGAAACAAAACCAAAAAAGAGAGAGAGAAAATTTCTTAGGACTTATCACAGAAGCTTTTACACTTCATGGTATCTGAACAGTCTAGTAAGTTAGCAACAGGAAAGTGAATTCTACAAAACATCGAGATAGCTCACATGTACATAAATACATGCATATAATTCTAGACGTATCATAAATACACAAAGTCTACAATGTGACGTACATATTTGAGCAACAGATACCAGATGTACTGAGATGGAAGTCACCGGTTTAAGCTGTGCAAATCAATGCTTTTAACATATTCGCAGAGTTCTACAACTATTACCACCAGCATTTTAGAACATTTCATCACCCCAACATGAAACCTTAAACCCATCAGCAGTCACTCTCTATACTCCCCCAACAGCCCCCCACCCAGGCCCTGGCAACACGAGCCTCCTTTGTGTCTCTACTGGTTTATCTATTCTGGATCATTCATATACATGGAATCACACAATATGAGGCTTTTTGTGGATGGCCTTTTCTACTCGACATGGTATTTTCAGGGTTCATCTGCACTGGAGTGAGTTTTCGTTCCTTTGCAAGGCGGAATAACGTGCCATTATGTGCATGGATCACACTTTCTTCACCACCCATCAGCTGATAAGCCAGATGGTTGTTTTGATTTTGTTCTAGCGTAAGGGTTCTGCATTTTAGATGACTCTAAACAAAGTCAACTCCCTGCCCCAGCCATGAAGTTTCCTTCCTCCTGCAGGAGGGAACTTAAAGGCCTCCCCACTCACCTTCTCCTCCGCAGACCTGAGCACACTGGAGACCGCCTCCACCGCCAGCTCCAGGGGCTGCTGCCGTGGGTCCTCCTCGAAGGACAGGAAAGGCGGGCCCTGGAACAGAGGGGCAGCATGAGGAGGGGCATGCACAGGAGGGGCTGCACCTTTTAAATTACATATCTGTGTAAAGTTCCGAAAAATTAAGAAACTGCACTAATACATCTTTCTGTTAACTCTGTGCTTCTAAATAGCAGCGATGGTTAAAATATCAGTAGGTTTGCACCTCCGAGGAGCAGCTGGTGATGGTTGTGCTCAGTGGGCAGGGTTCAGCTATGGGAGAAGGCGGGGAAAGGACAGGAACCCAGGAACGAACCTGAAGTTGCCACAGGAAGGCAGCGAAGGGTGTTTTGAATCCTCCTGCTGACAGCATAAGGAAAGAAACACAGACTCTCAGGGTAGAGCCGCTTCCTGCACATCAGTGGATCAGTGGGTCTAGCAGGACACCTGGCCCAGCACAGAGGGCTCTGGGCTGTGTCCTCCCCGAGTCCTAGGGACAGTCCTCTACTCTGGTCTGGAAGTCACCACTCCCTGTTGTGTGTGGTTGCTGTGGCACAGTTACTTAGGGTGCCCCCCATTCTCCTCTCCTAGCCCCCAGGGGCTGGCCTCTCCCTGGGATCTGAGAGGGTAGACAAGATTCCTTGGCTAGAAATGTGTGCGCTTAGTGGCTGCCCACAGAGCAGACCCCTTGGCCCCTACTTCTCAGCCCTCTGGAGCCACCTGGCCCTGAGGTTCACCTTTGCCCTTGGCTCTGCATGTCCTCCCAGCCTCATTCCAGGAAACTCAGTCAGCTCATGTCTGTTCTGGTTCTTGCAATTAAAAATCTCCAAGCAAGGCCGGGTGTGGTGGCTCACACCTGTAATCCCAGCACTTTGGGAGGCCAAGGCAGGCAGATTGCTCAAGGCCGGCAGTTTGAGACCAGCCTGGACAATATGGCAAAACCCTGTCTCTACCAAAAATACAAAATTAGCCGGATGTGGTGGCACACACATGTAATCCCAGCTGCTCAAGAACCTGAGGCATGAGAAGCACGTGCCCCCAGGAGGCAGAGGTTGTATTTAGCTGAGATCACCCCCCAAGACTGGGTCTCAAAAAGAAAAGAAAAAAATGCAAACAAGAGATGTGCAATTAAATGAACCGGACCACAAGGCAACAAGACCAGCACTTTATAACAAGGAAACCAGGGTTTACGTGGCCGGCCAAGTCCTGTCCTTTCAAAACGAAGCCCTTGAGAAGCCAAATGTGTATGCCAACAACAGAGCCCTGGATCAAACTCCTTGAACTCTGCTCCTGATGTTCTGTAGAAAGCACGTCACGTTTACGTAAGCTCTGACTGAGTGGTTAAAACCATGCAGCCCCAACGCTCCCATTGCATTCCATCCCATCTCCGCCGTGGTGAGCTAGGTCCAGCTACGAGGCTGACCGAGGGTGGGACAGGGGAGGTGGTGTAAAACTGCGCCGTGGAGACTCCACCAACACGGTGCAAGTGAGCGAGCAATGAGGTTATGCTGTGACTAATTCTCGAGAATTCCCAATAACCACGAGTAAACCTAAAAGACAGAACGTTTTGATTTATACACTTCCAACCTCACCCTGTTCGTGCACTATCTACCTCATCCCCAAAAAATCAGCAGAGAATTAAATGTACTGCTGGAGAGGGATGAAATCACGGTTTCAGGACTGCTCTTCTGGCATTCTCTCTGGTGGGAATTTGTTTGGGTGGGACCTGCTGGCCAGGACCACGCTGTGAGCTTGGTGATGAGACAGTTCTGTGCACCTGGCCCTCTGGGCCTGAGAGAACAGAACCCAGCACAGAGGCCAGTGCCAGGCAGGGAACCATGAGCAGGCAGCATGCCAGCACTTGGAGGATGGAGTGGAGAAACTGTACTTTCTGTAGTAGCCTAAAGATACAACGTTGCCTTACACCAGCCTGGGTGCAGACACATGCTCCCCTGGGCAGCAGATGAAGTGTTTACCCTCTTCCCTTGCTACCTTCTGAATTCAAACCTGGAAAAGAGTTTGCTGGGAATCTTAAGATCAAGGGGTGGTCTCACAAGGAAAATAAGTTATTAAGAGAGAATGCTTTTCCTTTCCTGATCTGCCTCGTCCTTGAGTTTCAGGAGCAGGGCGTACTTGCCTGCCACACAACCACAAATTCAGGCATCTCTGCATCTCTGCTGCTGTGACAATGCTGAGAGGACCCTCATTCCAGACCCCATTGCACTTAGACTAAAGGAAGATTTAATGTCCACGTGAAAAAAGAAACACACGAGAATTGCCAGGAAAACACTGAAAAAGGAGAACAGGGTGACTAGTCCCACCAGATATTAAAACACACTATAGAAACCCCATAATTAAAACTGTGTGGCTCTTGTACACCAACAAACACATGCACTACAAATGAACAATATAACCATCCTGAAGGGGATGGGAAAAGACAGATACAACCTAAGAAACCTGGAAAACTGTATCTTGACTGCACATAAATGCTGTAATCCAGTAAATGTGTTTCATGGGTTGGGAACTCAGAAACTACTTTATGCATATACTAGAACTGAACACATAAGTAGGAAGTAAATAAGACAGCAGGTATCCCATGATCTACTCTTGAAGAAGGGAGTTAAGAATAAGAAAGGGAAACTACTAAAATGAACTCTGTACCATTGGACTAGAGGTACAGGATACAATCAGTTTTGAAGATAAACATAAAGAGAAATACACAGAAATACAGACGTGTGCACATGTGTTAGTATACACATGTATGCTTGCTATTACTGAATACTGAAAGGGAGCAATGAGAACCTAGCAGTAATGAACACACACAATGCCTAGGTCTTGGTTTCTAAACACTTCTCCAATAAAAGGAATCAGGGCCGCTTGAAGAAGTGGGTGAATCCAGGGCTGGGGAGGAGAAAATACAAGATGAGCCAAAAACAAACATTTAGTGGAAACATAAAGTAAGGAAATGAAAATAAATAGTGGGCTTGATGGAAGAACGAAGAGGCTGCTCTCAAAGGAGCACCGTGATGGCCCAAAGGAGAGCAACTTCAGCGGCTGCTTCGGTTTGGCTCTGTTTGTAACCCCACGTGTCAAGGGAGGGACCTATAATCCCCACCTGCAGGGGGAGGGAGGTGAATGGATCATGGGGCCGTCTCCCCCATGCTGTTCTCATGGTAGTGAGTGAGTTCTCACAAGATCGGATGGTTTCATAAGCATTTGGAAGTTCCTCCTTACTTCTTCTCTCTACTGGCGCCTTGTGAAGAAGGTCCCTGCTTCCCCTTCCACCATGATTGTAAGTTTCCTGAGGCTTCTCCAGCCATGTGGAACTGTGAGTCAATTAAATGGCTTTCCTTTATAAATTACCCCCTCTCAGGGAAGTTCTTCACAGCAGTGTGAAAACAAACTGATACAGCAATATAATAAATAATGATAGTACTGGACTATAACCCACAGAATAAATATCCATGAGTCCACACTGAGCTGAACAATCAGATAAATATCTCACTGGAGGAGAAATGATGGTTCTCTCTTGCGGTAGAGTTCCAAATAATAAAGACAGGAAGGAAAGGAAACAGAAAGTCACCATCAAGTGAGCTGCAGCTAAGTCACCGCTACACACAGGATACACTGATGGTTGGAAAATCAATGAGGAAAAGTTTGAGGCACAGTGGGATCCGTGCAGGCTCAAAGTATCTCCCCACACTACCTGTTAGCCACAGCAGGAAAGACATAAGGAGGTGACGTGGTGGGGATCTGCGTCCCCGCCCAAATCTCAGGTCAAACTGTAATCCCCAGTGTTGCCAGAGTGGCCCGGTGGGAAGAGACCGGATCATGGCGGGGGCAGTTCTCCTGAATGGTTTAGCACCATCCCCGCTTGTACTGCACAGTGAGTGAGTTCTCATGAGATCTGGTTGTTTAAAAGTGTACAGCACCTCCCACCTTTTTCTCTCCCTCCTGCTCTGGACCATATAAAATGAACCTGCTTCCCCTTCACCTTGCACCAATCATGGCGGATTCATGTAAGTTTCCTGGGGCCTCCCCAGAGGCAGAACTTGCCATGGTTCCTTACAGCCTGCAGAACCATCAGCCAACTAAACCTCTTTTCTTAGAAACGACCCCGTCTCAGGCATTACTTTCTGGCAATACGAGAATGGACTAATACAGGAAGATACATAAAATACATGAGGATGACCCCAGCAGAACTCAACCAAGTCACCATGCCCAGCATCCACTGCAACAAGACACGTTGACATCACAAGCCCCATACACGGTGCACGCCACTTCTGTGGTTTGTTTAACCTCACTCCAATCATATGGAAACACTAGACAAATGGAAAGACGGTCAGCAAAATAATGATCAATAGTCTTCAGTTATCAAGGTCATAAAAAACAAAGAAAGACGGAGAAACCCTGGCAGACTGCAGGTGATGAAGAAGTCACTCAATGCGGCAGGAACCCTCAACAGGACCCTAGAATGATAAAAGGAGACAAGTGGAAAACTGGTGAAATGCAAAGAAGGCCTTTGGTTTAGTTGTTAGGCATTGTGACAATGTTAATTTCTTGAACTATTACATTAATCTCATTGTCTTATGAATCATAGTAACATGGTACCAGTGTTAATTTCTTGGTTCTGATCATTGAGCTGTGGTTATGCAAGGCTGAGTGAGGAACATTTGAAAACTGAATTACTTTTTTCAACTTTTCTGTGAAAGCAGTTCAAAATAAAGTTTAAAAAAGAAGACTTTAAAGAGAGCAGCCCACCTTTATTGACTCACTAAGTGCCAGGCATTTTATAAATGCCTCATGCAGGTCTGATCTCACCTCCAGGAGAGTAGATTTTGTTTCTGGATTGAATCCAAAGTTATCCCTTCTACAGACGATGCACAGAGACTCTCCCAGGATCGCACAGCGGGGAGTGCAGAACTGGAGCACAACAAACCTGCACCCAGCTCCAGAGCTTCCCCACGGGCTAAAGTACCCTTCTTCCTCAGCAACCTGGCAGGAGCCCTCGGGAGTGGAAGTTAGCTTTGGCTGAATTTTAGTTGATGTGAACACTACGCCCACATTTTCCTGAATTCCTGTCTTGTTGGGAGAATGGGTGAGTGCAAAGAACAAGCTGAACTGGGGCCTATTCCTGGGTTTTGCATTGATGACTTGCAAAGCCATCAGAGCTTCCTTTAATGTTGATTCTTTAGAAGTGAAAAACAAAGCACATTAAACAGCTTGTATTGCCCAGGCCTGGCTGGTTCCCAAGACAGAAGGCCTGAGTCCAGATGGGGTAATGGGCATCACCACTGTTTCTCCCAGCCAGGGACCCATCATTCACCCCACTGCGCCCAGGGCCTGCCCAGAGCCGGCTTTGTGCTGGGCACTGGGTCTGGCTCTGCCCAGACAGCCCCTGGCTCTAACCCAGCTCACAATGCCGGGAGCTGACCAGGGCATAAGTTACTCTGGGGGGTTGGGAGGAGGGCAGGGCAGGGAGCATCCTGGCTGAAGGGGACGATCAGGGACCTCTGAGCTGAGACCCAAAAGATTTAGAGAAGTTAAATAAACAGAAAAGAGATAAGAATCTTAAACAAAAGGAATGACCTGCGGGAAGGCATCATATAGGAAAGGTCCCTAGACACGAGCAACAGAAGGGTCCCCGGTGGAGGGTGCCGGGTTTATAGCACCAAAGCGGTGCACGTTCCTTCTACTGGCAGAGGGAAGGGCATCCTGCAGTAGCGGTCACAGTTCTGCCAACCGGCTTCCTACATCATGGCCACCGTCATTGGTCAAGGAGTTTGGACTCTGTGAGCATGACTGGAAGGTCATTACAAAGACTCTGAAGTCTGGTGGCCACTTTGTTTACTTTTTAAATACAGAAACTCCTATTCAAGTCAGCGCTATTAATAACATGTTCCAAGTTCACACGGCATCTTTTTTTTTTTTTTTTTCCCCACAAAGACTGCACATTGTTTAATAGTCTTGGTCATCTGCATTTAGAACATTCGTCTAAAGAAATCCTGGGCTGAAGGACTAAAGAAATAAACAGCGTTGGGGACCCTCCTAGTCTGGGACCTCATCCCACTCAGGTGGGCCACTGCTAGATAAGCCCAGATTCAGGCCACAGAACACGGGCCTCACTTCAGGACGGGGGCTGCCTACATGTGGTCTAGACGGCATCAGCCTCGGGAGGAATGCTGTGCGGCCCACGGGCGGGGGCCACTGCTGCAAGCGTGCTGCTCCCAGAGTCAGGAGACTGTGGGACAGCAGTCCCGGAAACTTCCAAGCAGGTGTCAGGGGTATAACTGATCATCATGGACCACTTTGTAAATGTTGATGTATTCGCAGGGTAGCAAAAGGAAAATCTCAGCTGGTGCTTTCAGATGCCATATTAGTTCTCAGTCTAAGGAGCCTGACCTGAGACTGCGCCAGTTCTGGGATCTTCTGTTCTCTGTGACCAAAGAGCCATCTCATCAGTGGGAATTAGGTGTCTGCAACACCAGACCAAGCAGAGAGGCAAGAGTCAATGCTAAAACAACTGCTTTTAGGTGGTGCTGGGTGAAAGAGGAACTCTGATGGACAGCAGGTGTATGCTAGCAGCTTCTTACCGGTGATTCTCAATCCATGGGGCACCCTCATGTCCCCCCCAGGCCTACTCAGGCAGATGTAGGGGCAGGAATGGGTGCTGCTAAGCTCTCTGGGTGAGACTCTGGTGATCCCTGTCCACCTGGCGTCCACCTGGCCGGTCAGCAGATCAGCAATGGTTTCCCCTGACGTCAGTGCAAACCACTGTCACATGTAATTCAGAACCCTTTCTGGAATAAGGGTGGGAACCTGAGGTCCCTGCAACATGGGAGCTGTGCTGCTGCGGTGGTAATCAGAGAGCAGGAGAATCCTCAGAGAGCACAGGGACTCCTCCGGAGCTGACCAGTCCTTGGGTCCCAGGAGGCGTGAGCCACTGTTTGGGATAACACATTAACAACTTGACTTTCTGAGGCCTTCTTGCTGGCTCTCATTTAAAGGAAATATTTGGGTCTCCAAGTTGAAACTGCTTCCCACAAAGGAACAGGCTGCAGCTACGGATGGGCAGACCTCGGCAAATCCCTCTGGCTCATGGGCTTCAGTCGCCCCTTCTAGTGAAGGAAGGGGCTTTGGCTAGGAGACTTTTTAGGGTTTCTTTCCATCTTAAAATACAAAGCTGGGATAAAACTTGGAATGGGAGGAGTTATCGTCTCCACTGGATAGAAAACTCCACTTTTCACAGAGAATGCTGGGTGTGATTAAGTTATTACCAGTGTTTTCTCAATCCCTAAGCGACAGGCCAAGAACTGGTATCCTTCCTGGGTAGGACAGAGTGATATGAGGACAAGGCAGAGGCAGGAGGGGGAGCACTAAGCTGTGGCTCTCTGGGCGGGCGGGCGGGCGAGAGCGGGCTTGGAGTGTCAGCCCTAATCCGAGATTAGTAGGAATCGAGGTGGGGGAGGGCAACAAGAAGCTCCTGCCAGAGTCAGGGCGGCCATGAATGCACACAGCAGCCCCTGCTCTCCCACACTGCCATCGCTGTCACCACAGTGATGGCCCAGGACGTTGGGAAGGTATGTGACAAGTGCCGGAGTCAGGGCGGCCTGGAATGCAAATACCACCACCTGCTCACCCACAGTGCCATCGCCCACACATAGCAGTGTGGCTCAGAATGCTGGGAGGGTGTGTGACCTTCACTCACAGGAGCCCAGTCACCCAGATCCTATCCGCCTGCAAAACCTTCCATTTGAATGCAAATGAAACGACATTCCCAGGCATCAGGGCTGTGTCCCCCGCCCCCAGAAAGTAAGCAATACCAACAACTGATGTCCCAGAACTGATGGACTATGTCCATGCAAAAATGCCAGAGATGTCCCTGGGCTGGGACACTACTGCCTCTTCCAGGCAGGAGGTCAGGAGAGATTGGTGGCTGAGACTGCAACATGTGGCCCACAGCAGAGAGGGAACAGAGGAGGCGCAAACACGCCGAGACCCTCTCTCCTCTCCCTGAACGCAAACCCTCCCTGCTCGCACACAAAAGCTCAGGTAAAAAGTTTTCATCCAAAACTTTCAAATATTTCCTTCTGTGTTCTCAGACTGACTTGAGCAGCCCAAGACAGATGCCAGGGCGGGGATGTCCTCTCCTCTGCCTCTCTCCCTTCAGGCATATGCGAATATGGAAGGATCTTCTCCAAGGTGATCACATTTTCTGAGGCCAATGAAGAGATGTCAGGAAAAGAACCAACCCACATATACAGGAGGTAGGGTCACTGCCTCCGAGCCCGAAACTCCGAAGTCAGAAGCAGAACTTACAAGTCATTCCCACAAAGGACAGAGATGAGATCTGTGCCCAATCATGCCACCAGCCTGCAGAGGATTCAGCCTCAGAATCCAGGCCTTGATACCAGGTCAGTCAGGGGTTGGTGATGGCAGCTTCCTGGAGAAATACCTGTATTTGCTCCTGGATGTGAGGACAACAGCGCTGGAGGGCTCGCAAAGAGACATCTGGTTTCCCTGAGAAGCTATCCAGCACTGGACAGCTGAGGCACAGATTCTGGGCACCAGGACAAAAGTCAGCCGACTGCCCCTGAAGCCTTTTTTCATCCAAAAGGTATAGTCATTTATTTTCTTTTTCAAGAGTTCAGAACAAGGTCTCTTGATGTGCTGGCTACATACTGACATTCAAAGCTTTTTTTGTTTTTTAACTTCCATGGCCATGTCTTCCAAGGCCATGGCACAAAGACCAGGCACAGGGCGGCCCACCATGGAATATTCTGAAGGTTGATGGGTTTGGATATTCAAAATTAGCAATTTTGCTATTTCTACAGCGAATGACCACTGAGCTGCAAACACAGGTGCAGGAAACTGTGTCCTGGAACACACAGAGCAGTGGCCAAGACTACAGGCCTCCCCAGACCCACCGAGGCTCCAACCCCTCCTGTGAAATGCCCGAGGACAGTAGACGCCAGAGCTTGGCATTAAACTAAGATGTCTTCAAAGCAAAAATAAGTCACCAAGTAATCAGCGGCTATGGAAACACCCACAGGACTGTGAGGCCGCAGAGGTAAGAGAGAGGCCCTTCACCTGCAGGCCAGGGCCACTGGGCGCCAGCTCTGCAGCCCACAGGCTCTGTGGCCTTGGGCAGGCTGTTTGCCTTCTCCGGGCCTCGGTTTCCCCATCTGTAAAACCGTCGTAACACCCATGTCATAGGAGTTTTGAGGACTCAGAGGTGGCAGGCGCACCGAAAGCCCCAGTAGGATGTCTGCCCAGTGACTGGCCTCCAGCAAATGATCAGTATTTTTATATAACAAGAAGTGCAAGTCTTTGGAGATAAATTCTTGGTGAAATTCAGCTCTGCGAGAGGAGGGAGCACATTGGGGTCAGAGCTATTCACGTATCAGGTGCAAGCTCAGTACGTGTCCTATAGGGCACTGGAATTGGCCCCAGGACTCCAGGCAGGCAGGTACCGGCTGGCACGGTACCGACGGTCCCTCCAGCCGTCAGCCTGTCCCCCGCGGAGCCCAGGGCCTGGCGCACCTGACGTCTGGGGAATAAAATCCATCACTTTGGTCTCCCGTCAAGGGTCCTGGCTCCCCCGTCTCTCTCCTAACTCTCACGGATGCTCGGCGCTGCGGGGAGGACTCACTTCGCCTCGGTCAGGGGCTGCAGCGACGCCTCCAGGAGACAGCTCTGCCCCGCCCGCCCGCCCCGGCCTCGGCCACCCCCAGCCCGCAGTCCCGGAAACTCACCCCTTTCCTCTCGGCCTCCTCGTTCAGGGCGGTCACCCAGGCGGCCTGCCACTGGCTCCTCCAGCTGCCCAGCGTCAGGATCCAGGACAGCAGCGCGTCGGACCCCCGGCGCGGCCCCTCGCCAGGCTCCAGCGCCGGCCGCCGGGGCTGGGGTCGCACCCTGGCCAGCGCCCACTGCGCCAGGTACAGGCCCACCGTGGCCAGGGCCGCGACGAAGAGCGACACTAGCGCGAGCCACTGCACCTCCCCGAGCCACGAGCCCAGCCGGGCCAAGGCCATGGTGCATCCCCGGCCCGCCTCGCCCCAACTTCCCCGGCAGCCCCGGGCGCGGGCGGCGGGCTCAGGATACGCTCTGGCTGCGGCCGCGGCGCGCGGGGGGCGTGAAGGGGGCGCGGCGGGGCCGGAGCCCGGCGAGGAGCGCGGCCCGGGGCCTCCGGGCTGGGCGGAAACGCGCGGCGGCCGGGGCTGGGCGCAAGCCCCGCACACCTGCGGAACAGGGGCGCGAGCGGACCTCGCGGCCGGCGCTCCCGACTCGGCGTCTGGGAAGTTCCCGGGCCGCGGCCGGGCTCGCTTGTTCCTGCGCGCCGCCCCGGGCGTCCCGCCCGCGGCCCAGCGGTGGCCGGAGGAGGCTCGGGCCGCGGGGCGGGGCGGGGTGGGGGCGGGGCCGGAGGGAGGGGCGGGGCCGGAGGGAGGGGCGCGGCAGGGCCTGTGGGGCCGCCCTCCCGCCACCGCCCCGCCCCCAACGCGGCCCGCCCCGCCCCCTTAAAGGCCCCGCGGCCCCGGCCCCGCCACGTGCGCGCGCCGCCCGCTCTCTCGATCCACCGGTCCGACCCCGGCGGCTGCTGTGCGGCGGCCTGGCCTGGCTCCTGTGCGCTGGCACCAGCGCGTGTCTGTGCACTCGTGTGACGCTGCGCGTGCACGGCGCGCAGTCAGCGTGATTTCGAGGACTGCCGTTTGCTGGTCAGCAGGAAAGGCTCCGGGCTCAGTCCTCGGAAAGTCCCTGGAAATCCGTGGCTGCCCCTGGAGCCGGGGGCCGGCCTGCCTTAGGGGCTGTTCTGCCCAGAGGCAAGGAGGGGCTCAGCACCAGGCCCAGGCCCTGCCCTCTGTGTGGCTGTCATTCATTCAGTGTGGGGGAGGGAGCAGAGGGTGCCTGTGATGGGATGTGTTGTGAGTGTGGTGTGTGTGTATGTGTGTGTTGTGTGTGTGTGGTGTGTCAGTGTGGTGCATGTGGTATAGTGTGTGTGTTTGTGTATGTGTGTGTGTGAGAGACCCCTGCTCCCTCCTCTTGCAGAGTGGACGCGGTCCTTAGGGAGTGCCGTAGAAACACACTAACCTGAGATTCTCCGGGTCTAACACACGCCTAAACCATGACAGCGTGATTCAATTGTGTTTTCTGCAGCTGTATTAAAAGGACTTGACCTTGAAAGGAATTAGATGGACTGAGCATTTGGCCTTCTCTTCCCTAGCCAGGGCTCTGCTGTAGGCCCTTTGGTTGGTACAACAGAGGGGATTGTGGCCCTGAACCCGCGGACCTGGATTTTCTTCAGGAAAGAGGAAGGACTCGAGCAGCAGCTGCACAGAGAGCCTTTGTAGGGAACAGATTAGGAAACTGGCAGGGAGGCGAGATGAGACGGGATTGCCCAGGTGAGCTTGGGATGGGCCCTTGCGAGCCAAAGTGGAAATAAGAATGTGACTATCAGCTTCCTGCAGGTGACCCATGTATTACACGCTAGCACTCCAGTCTGCTGCACCCTCTTAAGGGTGGGAGGAACTGCTCTTCTTTTTTTCTATCCTGTGTTATTTTAGGCAGAAACAAAAGAAATCCCTTCTTATTTGGCAGAAAATCTAATTATTTCCTGACCTGTAGCTAGACCTATGCAGTCGGATAATTCGAGTCCTGCCGGTCCCCTTGCCAGAATAACTGGGGTGAGGAGACCAAGGGCCCAGTGTCCCCATGCCATGTGTGTGCAGGCCACCTGTGGCTATGAGGGCAGTGAGGAGAGCCTGTCCTGTGTGACCGGTGGAACCAGTCTCATTCCTTCAGGTCTCATGCGTGCTCACTCATCCCACTTGCTTTATTTAGAGGCTTGTAACAAGCTGTAAAGTAATCACCACCCCTACTTTGGAATTTGTCACACTTCCGTTTTTTCTTTTTTTTGGGGGGGGGGATTTGTTTGCCTTGACCTTTATGAAAGAAGATGGGAAGAACAGGGCAGGGTTCTCCGAGAGCACAGTGTTCTCCCTCCCTCCCCACCAGGTGACATTCCTTGCTCCCAGCATCTCTCTCTCCACCCCATCTCCCTTTGACCCAAGGAGTGAGACTGCAGGTCTGCCCAGGCAGGGCTCTGTCGCCACCAAAACCCTCAAATGGGTCTCTATCACTCTGTAGCGGTTGTTTGCTATTTTTAGCTGCTCGTAAAGGGGAAGGAGGGTGGCTGTGGTTCCTCCTGTGTGCTCACCTTGAGCTCCCAGCTCCCAGCTGTTTAGCGTAAGCCAAGCCCGCTTCCCATCAACCTACCAGACCCACCGGGAGCCTTGGACCAGGGCTTCCTTCGCTAGCATGGCAGGCCTCCAGGCAGGAGGGAGGAAGCCGAGTTTCTACATTCTTCTTCACAGTGCTTCATAGTAGCTTGGTCTGAGGCCAGAGTCAAGATCCACTGCTCTGTTTTTCATTTTAAAACGTTTCTAAAATGCTCATGGTGGAGATGAGAATTGTTTGTTGGATATCTCTGCTGAGTCACCCAGTCTTGGGTGCAGTGCCTTATCCCTGCATCAAAGCTGGGAGTCTTTGAACGTCTTCCTCTATCAAGCCCAGGAGGTTCTGGGATGATGTGACATTTTTGGAAATTAATAGATATTTGGAAATTAATAGTCTGGTGTCATGTATCTCGTGTCTATAGACAGTTATACCTTGTTATACTTTTGGGTTTTAAAAAATACTTTTAGAAAAATGTGGTACTTTTAGTTTTCAATGTGATTCTGAAATTTCTAGAAGCAGGGGGAAAAAAAGAGGGTCCAAGAAATTTATAGTTGTCTTTAATTGAGTGGAGTTTCTCCTTCATCCTGAAGCAGTTCATATTATTAGTCTTGCTTGAATTATCAAGTTTTGCCCCAATATTCTGAGAGACCAGCACCTTGGGGGTCCCAGGGGGGCTGTGATGGTCACTTCCTAGGCCCTACCAGGGACCTCTAGCAAGTGGGAATACGTGGCTTCCCCCAGCAGCACTTGGGGGCCAGCATTTTGAGAATTCCGTCTTAGCAAAATGCTTTTAAGACCTGGCCCAGTGCCTTCAGCAGCCACCTTGGGAGGCAAGATTTCTGAAGACCCCGGAGTCTGTGGAGACATTTGACCCAATCTCCTTGGCTCCATTGCTCTGGCTTAGTCATTTCCACCCCCTGGAGGCTGGGATGTACTTTGAGTCTGCTTCCTGTCCTGCTCACAGGGTCAATACTGGAGCCAGCAAATCCAATCAAAGGTCACCCGAAGCCAGAGCGTTGCCGGGCACCAGACAGGGCCTTCCCCTCCAGGAGGGGCCGTGAGTTCTTCTGGTAATCATTTGTATGACTTACGGAGATGCTGTTCAGGATACCTTCCCCAGGAGGAAAGCAGCAAACCGAGTAACTGCATTAACTTCCCAGATGAACCCCAGATGGCTGCGTGCAGTCTCTGAGAGTGAAGACCAGGCTGCAGGCCAGAGGGCCCTCCTAGGAGCAACTGATGGAAACGGTAGAGCCATCGGCTGAGCCTCTGCCATCCTTTAGCTCTCTCCCGTGTCCCACAGATGCAGCAGGCACGCTTATGCAGCTGGCGGGCATTCAGAAAGTCACGGCTGTGTGTACTGAGCACCTCCTGCCATCAGACACCGCCTGGGTACCTGACTTCATGGACTCACTTCATTTTCACAGCAACACACAAAGGATGGCATTGCTCTGTTTTAAAAATAAGGAAAGTGAGTTCAGAGAAGCTAAGTAACTTTCCAAGGCCACTGAGCAAGAAAGCGGCTGAGCCAGGGTTTGACCCCAGGGGCCGTGTTCTTCCCATCTTCTTTCATAAAGGTCAAGACAAACAAATTGCCCCCGCCAAAAAAGGAGAAGATGTTAAAAGCCGGAAGTAGAGCCTCCATTTCCAACATCCATGCGCAAAGATCCGCCTAAAGAATTGTCTTTTGTGTTCTGAAGTCTGGGAGGCAGGGACTGTCAAACCCAGAGGGGAGGTTCACTCATGGAGCTTCTGTGACGTCCCAAGTCCTTTCTGGGAAAGACATGAGAGGAATCCAGCCCTGACATTTGCCATGATCAGTGACTCTGCACAGTAGGGCCTCCCAGGACGTCCACCACTCACCCTAAGAGTGAACAGCAGATACGCTGCTTCTTCAAATCCCACCCTGGTGATGGCTTGTCAGGGAGCCTGAGTCATGCCGTGATGCTGGGAGGTGGCGGGCAGCATCAGAGGCAATGCCTGCCAGCCTGCTGCAGGCCAGTCAGGCCTGCCAAGAGTCTGCCCCGGGCAACCCCGATGACGTGTCGTGCGAGTCTGTGCCCACGCCGGGCAGGTGAAGGAATGTGACCCAGATGGCTGCCCTGCCTCTGCTAGGTGGCTCAGTGAGGCCTCCCTTGGGAATGCCCAGGAGCAAGGTGACTTGACATTTTTGCCTGTACCCAAGGCTGAGACCAACTTAATGAATGAAAATATTTAACCTCAATTCTTTTTTTGTAGAGGCAGGGTCTCACTGTGTCGCCCAGTCTGGTCTTGAACTCCTGGGCTCAAGAGATCCTCCTGCCCCCTGTTTTTAAATATATTTCCAAGGAGGCAATTGCCTAAATTGCATGTTTTCTCCAACTCCAAAGAATGCTGATCCCCCACCTATGCTCTGATAACCAAAATCACGCTTTCAGAAGAATTTACCTCCTGATGGGTTCCGGGGCCAGGCTCCTGTAATCGCAGCACTTTGGAAGGAGGCCGAGGCAGGAGGATGACTTGAGCTCAGGTGATCAAGACCAGCCTGGGTAACAAAGTGTGACTCCTTCTCTACGAAAAAAAGTAAAAATCAGCCAGGTGTGGTGGCTTATGCCTGTGGTCCCAGCTACATAGGAGGCTGAGGCAGGAGGATCATTTGAGCCCAAGAGGCTGAGGCTGCAGCAAGCCATGTTTGCACCATTGCACTCCAGCCTGGGCAACAGAGCAAAGATCTTGTGAAAAAAAACAAAATGTGTTCATCATGTAGAAGTTGAGTTTGTAGGGATGTGTGAGGTGGCAGCAGGCGCCTGGAGGGAGGGTGCGCTGAGGAAGAGAGAGATGACCCTGTGGGAGTGAGATGACCCCCCCCCGCTGAGACTCTCAATGGATGTCAGTGCAGGTGCCAGCACAGGTGCCAGCTGGGGGGGCCACAGGAGGGCCTTGTCGCTGGGGAAAGCCCCTGGGCGGCAGGACCGGAGCTGCTCCTAGCGTCTCAGAACCTGTGGGATCCGCTTCTGCAGCTCTAACGATGTGGCCATTCCCAGCACTGACTCTGGAATAACACTTGATCTATAGGCAGCTCCATTAGAAAAGAGAGGGGGGAACCAGAGGGGTCCCCCCTTACCCAACACAGGACTCAGAGGAGCTGCTCTTATTCCCAGCAAGGCAAGGCACATTCCTTGTAATTGGCGCTTTGCCTGTGTTCTGGACTACAGTTTTCCTTTCTGCTGTTGTTTTTATTAAACACAGTGAGTAGAATCAACTAAATATCTGGAGGGATATTTAGTATCTTTAAGAGCTGAAGGAAATCCTATTAAAGGGCTTCTAGAAACAACCGAGGAGCATGTATTTATCTACACATCACTAAATACTAATTACAAATAATTATTATCTATTCCAGTGGTTCCCCAAATACTGCAATAAAGACAAAGGGAATAATTTTGCTGCTTCAGGAAACACTCATGCCCTGTTTGCCTAGCACTTTGTAAGAAATCCTATAACAAGTAAGAGACAGGAATTATCACCCCCATCGTGCAAATGAGGGGTGGAAGCTTAGAGGCGCTGAGCGGCTCGCCAGGGTCAACACCAACGTGGATAGGGTTAGGGTTAGAGGCGGAGCTAGACCTAGATGCCAGGTGTTCGCTGCATGATCCCTCACGCCGCACCAAGCAAGTCTACACGGCGCCCCCGTGGAATTAGAGGAGAGCAGCTCGTCGACACAGGTTATTGCAATGCGTCATTTCCCCTGATTTTGATGGGTCATCATCTCCTCACGCTGCTCCTCAGAGCATGGAACTGGGACTGCACCTGTGAGCACGTGAAGCCGTTGTGTGTATTCTCTTGGTGTGTCATTTCCCCATGGAGTCACCTTCGGGAGCTCTGCCAGCTCCCGCTCACAGGGCCCAGGGGAGGGATGGGCCCTGCAGAGTGGGCAGTTACCACACTGGAGGCATCCATGCTGCCTGCAAGGCCAGCACTGCCCCAGCTTGTTCTCCCGTCCAGTCGGCTAAGGTGGCAACGAAGAGGAAGCCTGGGACCCTCAGGAAGGAAGAAGCCCGGCTCCTCCTGCAGGCTGTCCTCTTGTTAGTATTATGGCAAAAACTGTGATGGCATTTGCACCAACCTATAGTAGCCCCAGGTGACAGGGAGAGGGACACTAGTGGGTCCCAGTGGGAGAGAGAAGAGAGCCCGCAGCCCCTTCTCTTTCTGTCTGGGAAGCGCATCACAGCCTTCCTCACACGTGGGTGAGGCATGGCCATCCTCGTGATCCTCACAACTGTGTGTGAACCAGCTACCTCTGTGTCCAGCAAGGGACTGTCCTCCCCCCATCTCAGGGCGCTGCATGGAATCACAAAAGCAGCCTTCCAAATGCATGGCTGGGCTTGATTTTAAAAGGAGGAGACTCCAGTCTCTCCCCACAAACCCAGGAAAAGAGTGGTCAGGTTAGGCATGCTGGGTCCCTGATGCTCTGAAGCAGGGCAGCTTGGTGGCCTTTTTGGTGGCCTTCTGTCACTGAGGAGCAGGGGGTCTGGAGAAAGGAAAATCGCAGAAAAAGAAAACTGAAGGCCAGAACACAGGCTGGTGCTGAGCCGCTGGAGCAAGCCCCGCACATCAAACAGGGCCCTTCGAAAGGGAACTGGAGAACGAAGGTTCCAAGACTAAAAGGTGAAGTCAGGGAAGCTGCGTGACCTCAGAAATCCATGCCAACACTCCTAGAAAGGAGGGCATCTTAGCTCAGGCCACTACAACACAACACCATCCCGGTGGCTTGTAAACAGCATTTATTTCTCACACCCTGAAGGCTGGAAGTCTGAGATCAGGGTGCCAGCAGGGTCAGGTCCCGGTGAGGGGTTGCTGACTGCTGCCTTCTCCTCGTTTCTCCACATGGTGGGAAGACAGGGAGGGAGCTCTCTGGAGTCTCCTTTGCAAGGGCACTAATCTCATTCATGGGGGCTCTGCCCTCATGACCTCAGTCACCTCCCAAAGGCTCCATCTCTTAACACCATCACATTGGAGGTGAGGACTTAACATGTGAATTTTGGGGGAACACGAAGGGTCCTTCCACTGCAGGGCATGTCAGGGTGGGAACAGTCAGGGCACCTGGCAGAAGACTCTCTGCAGGGCAAGGCCCTTAGTCCATGCCCGCTGACTCCTCGGCTACGCTGCTTCAAGGAACATAGATTCCAGGGAAAGTCCGCAGAAGCAGCGAGAAGCCGCATTAAAGCACCTGCATCTCAGCCAGTGCGATGGACCCTGGGCTGTCAATCAATGACTGACCAAAGACCCTTTAAAAGGAACTGAAAACATAAAAAAAGAAATTAGTTACTGCCACATTTTATTTTAGCCCTCATACAAATGGTATGAGGTGGATGAAACAGACATTATTTTATTTATTTATTTATTTATTTTTTACAAACCCTTGTGTCGAGGGCTGACTTTCAATAGATCGCAGTGAGGGAGCTGCTCTGCTGCGTACGAAACCCCGACCCAGAAGCAGGTCGTCTACGAATGGTTTAGCGCCGGGTTCCCCACGAACGTGCGTTGCATGACGGGCGAGGGAGCGGCTGCCTTTCTGGCCGCACCCCATTTCCCAGGACGAGGGGCACTCCACACCGGACCCGGTCCCGGCGCGCGGCGAGGACGGCGGGGGACCGGCTATTCGAGGCCATCCGAGGCCAACCGAGGCCCCGCGGCGCTGCCGTATCGTTCCGCCTGGGCGGGATTCTGACTTAGAGGCGTTCAGTCATAATCCCACAGATGGTAGCTTCGCCCCATTGGCTCCTCAGCCAAGCACATACACCAAAATGTCAGACGTTATTATATCACTGTTCTGCAGGTGAGGAATCCAAGGTCCTTATCAAAGATGCTCCATTTATTACGAATTCAGCTGGGGCTGACGCAGTGTGTTTGCAGCTTGGACTCCTTTACTAGCTGAGAACACGCCTCTGTGAAGACATGACTGCAAAGCAGCGAAGCCTTGGTCCTGAGGGCATTTTTCTAAAATATCGGTTCCATCGGATGTGTCTTTGGGAATCATTTCATATTCAGCCCAAGTGTTAGAAAGAACCGGTTGGCACTATTTGCGCCAATAATAAATCCGTGCATGCTCATGTTCATCGGTGCTGCTCCGTAGTCAGAAGCCAAAGTACCCAAGCCCGGCCTCCACGGCCCGAGATGACTGAAGAGTTTGTGCATCAGCGTTCGTTCAGATGCGATAATCCATGATTCTTGGGAAGAACATGGTCTTTAAAAAAAAAAAATATTTTGTCTTTTTAAAAAATTAATCTACCTGGGCACGGTGGCTCACGCCTGTAATCCCAGCACTTTGGGAGGCTGAGGCGGGCAAATCACCTGAGGTCAGGAGTTCAAAACCAGCCTGACCAACATGGAGAAACCCCATCTCTACTAACAATACAAACTTAGCCGGGTATGGTGGCACACACCTGTAATCCCAGCTACTCAGGAGGCTGCGAGAGGAGAATCACTTGAACCCAGGAGGATGGAGGTTGCAGTGAGCTGAGATCATACCATTGTACTCCAGCCTGGGCAATGAGAGTGAAACTCCATCTCAGAAAAAAAAAAAAGACCTAACAAATTATGCAGAATTGAAGGAGCAACTGAGCAAAGTTCTCTTGTTGATAGAAGTGTGTTCAGTGTGCAAATGTGTCCTTTGCAGACTGGGCCAGCGTGTGGCCATCGCACCGTTCATGCACCCTTCCGCCTCGGGGCAGCCCTCCATCTGCCAGCCACAATGCACGAAGGCCTCCTGGACAGAGAGTGTCCAGTACTATGGACACGGTGGACACAGAAAATGCATCTTTTCTCTCGCAATCTCTCCAGGAGGGCTCCCTGGTGAGGACCAAGGGAGGTGATCGAGATAGCCATCTCCTCACCAGAGCCCCTCCTCCCCATCAAACGATGGAGAGAAAACGTGGAGATGCTTCCTGCTTGCAGGCTTATAAGATTCAAAGCTTCCGGTGAGAAGCAGAGACAAAAGGAGTATCCTTCTGTGTTGGGGAGAGCTGGACTGGCCACTGCTGATGCCATAGATGAGAGTCCTCTGTAGGAGCTGTCCCAGGAGGCCACAATAGGGGCTGTCCTGGTGCCTGCTGACTGTGGCAGTGCTGCGCTCCTGCTGGTCTGTCCCCAGGGTTTAATGAGCCCATCTTGAGATGATGCAGGGAAAGGGGGTGCAGGCAAAAGAAAGACTGTCCAATGTGCCAGGAGGCATCCAGCTTTCCTCCTCTAGCTCGGGACCAGCTGCAAGAAGTCCCTAACACACTGTGGCTTTATTATTAACAGATGCTAAAAGCACACTTCCCAGAACTGTGCTGAAGGTGGTGACCCAGAGGCAGCAGGGCACTACAGCTCCTTCCTCTGGGGCAGAAAGCAGGGTGCGTGGGAAGTTCAAGGACAGCAGTGGGGCGGCAGAGATCACAGCAACATTCTCAATGGCAGACAGTGGCAGGAGGGGCGTGGGGCGTGGGCGAGTCCACGAGTCCAGTGACGCTGCATTCGATGCTGGATCTCGTCCCGCCGCAGCATGAGCTGCAGCACCTTGAGGAGGGCACATTCTGGGTATTTCTGTTTGGTGGAGTCCTTGATGATGCTGTGCTCAGACACCTAGGAGCTGATGGCAAGGCGGTACTTGAGCTGCTTCTGGATGCATCTCAGCTTCTCTTGGTTCTCCTGGCTGGTGAAGCCCTCCGCTCCTGACAGGGTACCGAATAAGGCAGCATCCAATGTGGGCACTTGGAAGAGCCGCTGGGCCTCCTCCACATCTGCCTCCATGACGAAAGGCTGCAGCTTTGTCTTGCTGAGGGCACAATGGCCTGCAGCTGCCGCACAACGATGGGGATGCTGGAGCGGCGGTCACTGTCCCTCTCGTGCTGATGTCGTGGTTCCTCACCTTCTCTGAGGTCTCTGCTGACAGCTGGGGGCCACATTTTGCTAGCAGTAGGCAATAAACTTCTTCAGCTTGGCCAGATCAATCTCACCCTCCTCGGCCCATGTGTGCATCGGCACACTCATGTGCAGAGTGAGGACATGCTTGGCCAGCATCACGTTCCCCTCCTCACTGTGCTCGTCCTTGACAGTGAAGGTCATGTTGAAGCACGACAAGATGGTGGGCATGAAGTCAGGGTTGTCCTCCCGCTTTGTCTCATCCCAGCGACCAAATACTGAGTTGGCAGCAGCCGGGATGGAGCAGCGGGAGTTCAAGGTGGTGGTGATCCTAGCTTTGGCAATGGAGATGGTCTGCTGCTCCGTGGCTTCGTGGATGGCCACTCGGTCGTCTTCTCGCATCTTGTCAAACTCGTCAATACAGATGACCCCATCCCTGGCCAGGACCATGGCTCCACCCTCCATGACTAAATTCCTGGACAAAGGGTCCCTCATCACCAAGGCTGTCAGTCTGGCCGCACTGCTGTCTTTCCCAGACGTGTATACCCCAATGGGAGAACACTTCTCCACAGACTTCAGAAGCTGAGACTCGGCTGTCCCAGCGTCCCCTGGCATCAGCAGGTTGATGTCTCCTCAGAGAGTAAGTCCATCATAGAGCCCCTTTCAGGATCCTTTAAAGAGCAGGCAGGCAATGGCCTTCTTCATGTCCATGCCCCCAAAGATGGAGGAGGTGATGCTCTTGGAGATGACCTCATTGACACTGGGGAGGGCGGCCAGGCAACGGAACTTCTCCTGTGGGCTCACAGCCCCAGTAAACCTGTGGCCACTGCCATCTGTGTCCACCTGGACACCCAGGACATGGATGTAGGAGCTTTGGATGCCCACGCCCATCCTGTCACGGCCCCTGCTGGAAGTCAGGCCAAACTTCTTGATGGAGTAGATGCCCATGATGGTAACCCTGCTTCCAGGGACAACCTTGTCACACAGGTACCTGTCACAGTAGAGCTGCATGTGTCTGGGCATCTCACCGTGGGGGACTGCATCAGGCAGCTCCTGCAGCTTCAGGGTCTGCAAGTCCACACATCTGCATTTGTCAGGCATGATGAAGTAAGGGTCCGGTGGGCACTCAGGGCACCCGCCTGATCTGTGCTGCACTTCCTGGGCAGGGGAGAGCCCTCCAGGCCAGGGTGAATGGCAGTGTTGGTGAGAGTGCTGCAGCAGCTGCGGCCCTGGATAGGGATACGGTGGCCTTGGCACGGACCGGTGAGGCTGCGGTGATGATGCCGGAGAACTTCACCGACTCTGCCTCACATAGTTGTCATTTTGTGACAACTTTTTATTGTCAAACACTTTTGTCATGCCAGCCTTGAAATGAGCAGGGAGGCTCCAAAGTCCATCAGCGGATGAGTGAGCAGACAGAATGCAGTCTATCCATGTGATGAAACATTATTCAGCCATAAAAAGGAATCAAGCACTGACCCAGACTATAATACCGGTGAACCTTGAAAACACGATGTTACGTGAAGGAAGCTGTGCACAAATGCCACACATGCATGATTCCATTTACATGAAATGCCCAGAATTTGTGAGTGGCAGGGGCAGAAAGAAGGTGAGTGGTTACCAGGGTCTGGGAGTGGGCCGACAGGGAGTGACTGCTGATGTGCACAGCATTTCTGTTCCGGAGATGAAAATGTTCTGGGAAACTAGACGGGTGACAGACAGACAGCATTTTGAGTGTGCTGAATACCATCAAATGATAAACTTTAAAAGGGTGGTAATGGTACATTTTATGTATGTGCATCTTACCACCATTTAAAACAGAGCTTGACCCGCTGGTTTAATAAATATTATGTGTGGCTTTTGTTATAGGCTGGATGTGGTGGTTCGTTCACTTTTTTGGTCACCGTTTTGGCAAGTATTTGTTGAACAGCTGCTGTGTGTCAGGTGCTGGGTTAGGTGCTGGGGGTTTAGTGATGCGCTGAGTCAATTCTCATGGGGCCTGAACTCAGCAGAGGAGACAGAGGGACAGTTCCACAGGTAATGGTGCAAAGTGCTTGGGTGGGGGTGGCAGTTGAGAGGAGACCGAGGAAAGTCCTGTGATGCCACCGGAGGGTGGGCAGGGGTTCAGGCAGGACTGTGATGAGCTTGTGGGTTTTGTTCCTACAGCAAAAGGAGTGGCTGACTTGGCAGAGAAGAGATGAGTTCGTATTTGCACTTGATCAAGATGGCCCCAGGAGACAGTAGGGGGAGGAGGTGGGTGACCGGGGAGGCTCACCTGGGATGGTGAGCCAGCCTCTCCACAGTGCACTTACAGGGGGTGGCAGGTGGGGCTGGGCTGTAGATGGTGCCATGCAGGGGTCTCCCTTAGGCAGCCTGGTGGGTGTGTGGGGCAGGACCTGTGAGGAGGGGCCACCCCAGCAAGGATAAAGTGATGCCCATGGGAGTATCGCAATGGTCTGAGATGCAAGAAGAAATGAAGGAGAGGACCACAGAAGGGGCTAAGAAATTCTAAAGGCAAGAAATGGTCAGAGAAGAGAAAGGATTCCACGGTGGGGGTTGCAGGGGCCGAGTGCTGAGCCAGTGCTAGTTGCCCACCCCATGGGCACGTGTTATAAGGCAGCACCATGCAATGGAATGGCAAGGCTCCCAAATACAACAGACTCTAGAAACTGATGCCTGGGGGTGAACTTACTGCCTGATAGACTGAACATCACAAAACACACTGGGAAAGGATGTAATTAGTAAATTTTGGGACAGAATTATCAAATGGGAAGAGACTAATGAGGTCAACCAGAGGGGACCACCGTGCGATGGTACAGGTGAGGGAAGCTGGTGTCTTCCCAGCATGGGGGTTGCCCCCATCCTGCCTCCAGGGCTCAGGGCTCTGAGAGGACATGGGTGCAGC